CTCCAGGGCCACAAGCCTTTCCCCTCTTCCATCAGTTGTGATTAACTACAAATGTCAGCACATTATCTAATGGAGGAGTGGGAATTGCACACCCCTCCAGCTGTTGTTGAACTGCAACTCCCAGCATTCCTCATTTTTGGTTGTTGTGGCTGGAACTCATTGCAGCCTAACAATATCTGAAGAAGAATGTGATTTCCATCCTTCTATTAAACCATTTTTCAAAGCTACTGTAAAGCCTAAAGAGACCCCAGTGTGATCTTAGTGGCCACTATGACTTTTCATTCATACTGGAAGCAATGATCACTTTCACACCACAGAGTTGTAGCAGTTTGAAAAAAACACTGAATGCTCTACCTTCACCCCATCAGTTCCATAGCTTCATAATATAATTTTCTGCCAGAGAGCTGTAGTGCCTCACCACACTACAAATCCCAATATTCCAATATACAGAAAACAACGATAGCGGTTACAGTTGGATCATAGTGTTAAATTGCATAGTGTAAGAAGGACAATGCCAAATTTCACAGCAACATGGGAAACTGCAGTTTATGCTGTACAGTGGAATATACAGTATTTAACATTTAGGCAGTTATTGTGATACTATTTACCTGAACCCCCACAAAGAAGGTAAATATGGTTTACATGTTACTTAATTAAGATTCTCTCTTCCTCTTTCTAGGACACAAGATTGGCACAGCATTATAAAGTGGTCGCAGCTGAACTTGGGCTAACATCCTTTAATCTTGGGATGTGTATTTGGATTGTGATATCACTACAAACAGCTAGGAAGACACTGTTACAGTGAAAGTGCTGTGGTTTTTAACTTTGAATATGTTTTGATGGATTTTAATTGAATTTTTTAGTGCTGTTTGTGTTTAATTCTGTTTTAATACATGTATATTTAATGCTTTTATGTCAAGCCACTTTGAGTCTCCTTTGGAGAGATAAAGCAGGGTATAAATAATAATAATCATCATCATCATCAAAATGCAGACTGTACAAGGAAGCTGATGAAACCATGGACCATATCCTCAGCTGTTGCAAGAAAATCGCACAGACGGACTACAAAGACACAACTCTGTGGCCCAAATGATTCACTGGAACTTATGTCACAATTACCACCTACCAGCAGCAAAGAATTGGTGGGGTCATAAACCTGCAAAGGTCGTAAAAAATGAATATGCAAAAATACTGTGGGACTTTCGAATCCAGACTCACAAAGTTTTGGAACACAATATGCCTGACATCACGGTTGTGGAAAAGAAAAATGTTTGATGTATTGTCAAAAGGCTTTCATGGCTGGAATCACTAGGTTCTTGTGGGTTTTTTCGGGCTATAGGGCCATGTTCTAGAGGCATTTCTCCTGACGTTTCGCCTGCATCTATGGCAAGCATCCTCAGAGGTAGTGAGGATAATGCTGTGCCAATCTTGTGTCCTAGATAGAGGAAGAGAGAATCTTAATTAAGTAACATGTAAACCATATTTACCTTCTTTGTGGGGGTTCAGGTAAATAGTATCCCAATAACTACCTCACTACCTCTGAGGATGCTTGCCATAGATGCAGGCGAAACGTCAGGAGAAATGCCTCTAGAACATGGCCCTATAGCCCGAAAAAACCCACAAGAACCTAAAAATGTTTGGATTATTGATGTCGCCATACCAGGTGACAGTCGCATTGAGGAAAAACAACAGGAAAAAACTCAGCCGCTATCAAGACCTCAAAATCGAACTGCAAAGACTCTGGCATAAACCAGTACAGGTGGTCCCAGTGGTCATTGGCGCACTGGGTGCCATGCCAAAAGATCTCAGCCAGCATTTGGAAACAATAAACATCGACAAAATCACGATCTGTCAACTGCAAAAGGCCACCTTACTTGGATCTGCGCGCATCATTCAGAAATACATCACACAGTCCTAGACGCTTGGGAAGTGTTCGACTTGTGATTTTGTGATACGAAATCCAGCGTAAATATCTCATTTGTTGTGACATACTGTGCTTTTGTGTCAATAATAATAATAATAGTAATAATAAAGTATCTCTTTAACAAACTGGGCAGTTGCTATGAAAAGTAGGGGGTATTCCTCTTAAGGTGCCTTCAGAGGAATATAAACTAGATTTTCTGCAATGCATTGTTATAGTAGCTCTCACTACAGAATAACATTTTTTCCAATGAGCAACCCACATTTGCAGCTGATATTTGCTAGGAAATACACTGCCTTTTTCTTCCTGATAAGAGTAAATGAGAGAGTATGTCAGGGATGCAACAAGCTCAGCTGTCTAACCCTATCCATATCTACTTAGAAATAAGTCCTATTATATATAATGAGATTAAAAGGAAGTGGGTATTAGGACTGTAGGCTTCATGATTGTGGTACCAAATAATGTGGTACCCCAGACAGAGACAGAAGAATAAAGAATAAACTTCATAAACAATGTGCTATACAGCAATGCTGCTTGAACTGTTGATCTTGACCCCAAATGGGGTCTACTTAAATCAATGTTGGGATCTCAAAAAATTTAAGGTTTCTGAATGCCATCCATTTACAGCAGTGTTTCTCAACCTGGGAGTCAGGACCTCTGGGGGGGCCATGAGGGGGTGTCAGAGGGGTTGCCAAAGAACATCAGAAAACACTGTATTTTCTGGGGGTTCTGTGTGAGAAATTTGGCCCAATTCTATCGGTGGGGTTCAGAACGCTCTTTGATTGTAGGTGAACTAAAACTCCAAAATGTCAGGGTCTATTTCCCCCAAACTCCACCAGTGTTCACATGTGGGCATATTGAGTATTCGTGCCAAGTTTGGTCCAGATCCATCATTGTTTGAGTCCACAGTGCTCTCTGATGTAGGTGAACTACAACTCCAAAACTCAATGTCAATGTCCACCAAACCCTTCCAGTATTTTCTGTTGGTCATGGGAGTTCTGTATGCCAAGTTTGGTTCCATTCTATCATTGGTGGAGTTCCGAATGCTCTTTGATTGTAGGTGAATTATAAATCCCAGCAACTACGACTCCCAAATGACAAAACCAATCCACCTCAACCCCACCAGTATTCAAATTTGGGCATACCCAATATTTGTGCCAAATTTGGTCCAGTGAATAAAAATACATCCTGCATATCGGATATTTACATTACAATTCATCTCAGTAGCAAAATTACGGTTATGAAGTAGCAATGAAAATAAATTTATAGTTGGGGGTCAGCACCACAAGAGGAACTGTATTAAGAGGTCACAGCATTACAAAGGTTGAGAACTACTGATTTACAGACATCTGTTAGCAACAACATGCAGAGTTTACAGTGGAAGATCAAACCACAGGCCACTTCCTACAATGCAGTCTGAGCCCCCTGTGGTGCAATGGGTTAAACCCTTGTCCCAGAAGGACTAAAGACCGACAGGTTGGGGGTTCAAATCCGGGGAGTGTACGGATGGGCTCCCCCTGTTAGCTCCAGCTCCAGCTCCCCATGCAGGGACATGAGAGAAGCCTCCCACAAGGATGGTAAAACATCAAAACTTTTGGGCATCCCCTGGGCAACGTCCTTGCAGACAGCCATTTCTCTCACACCAGAAATGACTTGCAGTTTCTCAAGTCGCTCCTGACACACAGACACAAGTCTGAGCCTTGCCACATGCACAATGGAGTACCTTCTCACAGCAAAACCAGCTTCCGGTCAAAGGAAACTGTATTCTCAATTTGCTTCTGACACGATAAATAAATAAATCTATTAAACTATCTAATCTATTTCTAATCTATATCTAATCTATCCACCCATTCCATCTAATCCTATTTATCCTATCTCTCTCTCTCTCTAATCTGTTAATCTGATGTGTTATTATTCTGTTATTCTGTTATTTTCTATGCATTTTATTGAATTTATCCATGTTGTGAGCCACCCTGAGTCCCTTTGGGGAGATGGGGTGGGGTATAAATAAAGATTATTATTATCATCATCATCATCATCTATCAAATCTATCTCATCTATTTTGCCTATCTATTAATCTAATCCATATCTAATCTATTCATCCATCTAATCCACCCATCTATCTGTTGATCCATCTAATCTATCCATCTAATATTCTAATCTATTCATCTACCTTTGTTGTTCATTCGTTCAGTCGTCTCCGACTCTTCGTGACCTCATGGACCAGCCCACGCCAGAGCTCCCTGTCGGGCCGTCACCACCACCTCATGGACTCCTTCAAGGTCAGTCCAGTCACTACCTAATGCTATTTAACGTATATCAATCTAGATCTCCTCTATATAGTATTAATCGCCATCGATGGAATCTATCTACCTACCTATATATATACCTCTCTATCTATCTATGTATCTATCTATCAACCTATCTACCTACCTATCAACCTATCTACCTACCTATCTATCAACCTATCTATCATCTATCTATCTATCTATCTATCTATCTATCTATCTATCAACCTATCTATCAATGTATCTATCTATCAACCTACCTATCAATCAATCAATCAATCTACCTATCAACCTATCAACCTATCTATCTATATCTATCTATCTATCTATCTATCTATCTATCTATCTATCTATCTATCTATCAATCAGCCTATCTACCTATCTATCTACCTACCTACCTATCTATCTACCTATCTATCAACCTATCAACCTATCTACCTATCTATCAGCCTATCTATCTATCTATCTATCTATCTATCTATCTATCTATCTATCTATCTATCTATCTATCTATCTATCTATCTATCTATCTATCTATCTATCTATCTTCTCTATCTTCCTATAATCCTACCTACCTACCTACCTACCTATCTATCTATCTATCTATCTATCTATCTATCTATCTATCTATCTATCTATCTATCTATCAACCTACCAACCACTCTCTCTATCTCTATCTCTATCTCCCCCCAACAGTTGTCTTGTCCAGCTCACATTTTTTACTAGTTTGCTTGTAAGCGGCCTTCCCATTGGTCCTCTTGCTTGGGTCCTTCCCTCGGGGGACCAGGAGGGGGCGCAGCTGCGTCTCGGGAGCCTCTTCCGGGCGGAGGAAGCGCCTTTCCCGGGCTGGGCCTGGCCGTGGAGGCAGGAGAAGGGGCCCGCCATGTCTCACGGCAGTAGCCGGAGGAGGGAGGCGAGGGGCAGCGGCAGCCCCAAGAGGGCCCGGAGCCGCAGCGAGTCTGAGCCCAGCGCCAGCCGCAGCCGCCGAAGCTCCTCCAGCAGCAGCAGCACCAAGACCCGCCCTGGCCATGGAGGGCAGGAGAGGAAGGAGCAGCGGCGCCGGAGCCGCGATGCCCAGCACATCCAGCAGATCCAGCACCTGGAGTCCTTGTAAGCAGCACTCAAGCAAGCCCTCCAAGCTTGGGCCCTCCCTCCAGAGGGTTTGGACTCCAACTCCCACCATTCCTAACAGCCTCAGGCCCCTTCCTTTCCCCCCTCAGCCGCTTAAGCGG